GGAAATGGCCAAAACCCCTCTAAAACCAGCCTGGTCGAACAGCTAAAACCAGCCAACCAGCCTTGGCTGGTTTAAGCTGGATTTTTCAGCAGGGTAGACTAGTTTTAAACAGCAGATAAGCTTTTTAATAGCAGATAGGCTAGTTTTTAATGCAGATGGTGTTCTAGGCTAGTTTTTAACAGCGGATGACACTCTAGGCTAGTTTTTGACAGCAGATAGGCTAGTTTTTAAAAGGAGATGACACTCTAGGCTAGTTTTAACCATAGATTAGCTAGTTATTAACAGCCGATGACACTAGTTTTAACACCAAATTAGCTAGTTTTTTAACCACAGATGGCTAGTTTTTAACAGCGGATGACACTCTAGGCTAGTTTTAACAGCAGATAGGCTAGTTTTTAACAGCAGATGGCACTCTATGCTAGTTTTAACACCAGATTAGCTAGTTTTTAACAGCAGATAAGCTAGTTTTTAACAGCAGATGGCACTCTAGGCTAGTTTTAACAGCAGATAGGCTAGTTTTTAACAGCAGATAAGCTAGTTTTTAACAGCAGATGGCACTCTAGGCTAGTTTTTAACAGCAGATGGCACTCTAGGCTAGTTAACACCAGATTAGCTAGTTTTTAATAGCAGATGGCACTCTAGGCTAGTTATAACACCAGATTAGCTAGTTTTAACAGCAGATGGCACTCTAGGCTAGTTTTAACAGCAAATAGGCTAGTTTTAACAGTAGATAGGCTTGTTTTTAACAGCAGATAGGCTAGTTTTTAACAGCAGATGGCACTCTAAGCTAGTTTTTAACAGCAGATGGCACTCTAGGCTAGTTTTTAATACCAGATAAGCTAATTTTTAACAGCAGACAATGCTCTAGGTTAGTTTTTAACAGTAGATGGTGCTCTAGGTTAGTTTTTGGCAGGAGACAGTGCCTAGTGCTATCTGCTGTTAAAGATTTGCCTAGAGTAACATTTGCTGTTAAATATTAGCCTAGAGTGCCATCTGCTGATAAAGATTTGCCTAGAGTAACATTTGCTGTTAAATATTAGCCTAGAGTGCCATCTGCTGATAAAGATTTGCCTAGAGTAACATTTGCTGTAAAGATTAGCCTAGAGTGCCATCTGCTGTTAAAGATTTGCCTAGAGTAACATCTGCTGTAAAGATTAGCCTAGAGTGCCATCTGCTGTTAAAGATTTGCCTAGAGTAACATTTGCTGTTAAATATTAGCCTAGAGTGCCATCTGCTGATAAAGATTTGCCTAGAGTAACATCTGCTGTAAAGATTAGCCTAGAGTGCCATCTGCTGTTAAAGATTTGCCTAGAGTAACATTTGCTGTTAAATATTAGCCTAGAGTGCCATCTGCTGATAAAGATTTGCCTAGAGTAACATCTGCTGTAAAGATTAGCCTAGAGTGCCATCTGCTGATAAAGATTTGCCTAGAGTAACATTTGCTGTTAAATATTAGCCTAGAGTGCCATCTGCTGTTAAAGATTTGCCTAGAGTAACATTTGCTGTTAAATATTAGCCTAGAGTGCCATCTGCTGATAAAGATTTGCCTAGAGTAACATTTGCTGTTAAATATTAGCCTAGAGTGCCATCTGCTGATAAAGATTTGCCTAGAGTAACATTTGCTGTAAAGATTAGCCTAGAGTGCCATCTGCTGTTAAAGATTTGCCTAGAGTAACATTTGCTGTTAAATATTAGCCTAGAGTGCCATCTGCTGTTAAAGATTTGCCTAGAGTAACATTTGCTGTTAAATATTAGCCTAGAGTGCCATCTGCTGATAAAGATTTGCCTAGAGTAACATTTGCTGTTAAATATTAGCCTAGAGTGCCATCTGCTGTTAAAGATTTGCCTAGAGTAACATTTGCTGTTAAATATTAGCTTAGAGTACCATCTGCTGTTAAAGATTTGCCTAGAGTAATATTTGCTGTTAAATATTAGCCTAGAGTGCTATATGCTGTTAAATATTAGCCTAGAGTGCCATCTGCTGTTAAAGATTAGCCTAGAGTGCCATCTGCTGTTAAAGATTTGCCTAGAGTAACATTTGCTGTTAAATATTAGCCTAGAGTGCCATCTGCTGTTAAAGATTAGCCTAGAGTAACATCTGCTGTTAAAAATTAGCCTAGAGTGCCATCTGCTGATAAAAATTAGCCTAGAGTGCCATCTACTGTTAAAGATTTGCCTAGAGTGCCATCTGCTCACAATCGATTCAAGAGAGCAAATACAGGTATTACAATTTGTCTTGGTCATTGGTGAATATACTGAAATCAATAAATGCTGGATAATGTTCATCCAGCCAGTTGTTTTTGCTGAATAAAATACTTCACTGATAATCATGTCTGGCTTTATTCTGAGAGAATAACTGTCTGGATGTACATTATCCATTGCTTATAGACTGCAGTTCCCCTTATAGTCACTGCATTTGCACACAAGACTACATTATGGACAAACAATTCATATTATTGGTTGAAATCTTATTTCAGGCTCGACAAAACCGGCAGCAAAGACTGAAGATCTGATCCACAGCGTCCTCACCGGTTAGTAACCAGTTGTGTTCATCTTTTGCTGAGCCCATTGACAGATGATTTAGCTTGTTTGTGGATGTAAAGGTCATTGTATTGTTTGTTTCTCAGAGATGGAGGCTCAGAGTGTGGAGGAGCTCAAACAGCAGAAGGGATTTGTGCGCGAACAGCGACGGCACTATAAAGAGATGAAGGACCTGGTGAAGAAACACCACAAGAAAACCACAGAGATGATCAAGGAGCACACGGCCAAATACAACGAGATCCAGCACGAGTATCTGCGCAAGCGCTCCGTCCTGCAGAAATCTGCCAAACGAGACGGTAAGAAGAGGTAGGTCGAGTCCAGTGATCCTCTATACAGTTCTACAGCTGGAAGAGATCCAGAGCTGAGCCTGTGTGTGTGTGTGTGTGTGTGTGTGTGTGTGTGTGTGTGTGTGTGTGTGTGTGTGTGTGTGTGTGTGTGTGTGTGTGTGTGTGTGTGTTTGTCTGTATATGCATTTGTTTGTGTGTTTGTGCATGTGTATCGGTGTGTGCTTGTGTTTGTGTTTATGTTTGTATGTGTGTCTGTGTGCTTGTGTATGTGTGTGTGTTTGCATGCATGTGTGTGTTTATGTGCGTGTGTGTGTTTGTGTGTGTGTGTGTGCGCATGAATATGTGTATTTTTGTGTGTATATGCATGTGTGTATGTGTGTGTCTGTATATGCAAATGTTTGTTTGTGCATGTGTATGTGTGTGCATGTGTTTGTGCGTGTGTTTGTGTATATGTGTGTGTGTTTGTGTTTATGTGAATGTGTGTGTGTGTGTGTGCATGCATGTGGTTGCGTGTGTGTTTTTATATGCATATGTTTGTTTGTGTGTGTGCATGTGTTTTTGTGTGTTTGTTTGTTTGTGCATGTGTATGTGTGTTCATGTGTATATGTGTGCATGTGTTTATGTGCGAATGTGTGTGTATGTGTGTGCTTGCCTGCATTTGTGTATGTGTGTATATGCATATATGTGTGTGCGCGTGTGTGTGTGCATGCTTGTGTTTTTGTGTACGTGTGTCTGTTTGCATTTGTGTGTGTGTGTGTGTGTGTGTGTGTATGATTGTGCGTTTGTATGTATTTGTGCATGCTTGTTTGTGTGACTGTGCATGTCCGTGCGTGTGTTTGTATGTGTGTGTGTGTGTGTGTACATGAATGTGTGTATGTGCATGTGTATATGTGTGGATATGCATGTGTGTGTGTGTTTGTTTTTGTGTGCGTTTGTGTACATGCATGTGTGTGTTTGTGTGCGCGTGTGTCTGCAGGTGTCTGTCCTCCAGTCCTGAGCACGGGCCGTCGTTCTTCGAGCAGGAGCTTCTTCATCTGGATCAGGACAGCGCACAGAAGCTGGCGGAGCTGAAGGAGCAGCAGCAACAGCAGCTCCTCAACCTGCGACAGGAGCAGTACTACAGCGAGAAATACCTCAAGAAAGAGCACATCAAACAGGTCTCACACACACACAGAATACTGAATCAAACACTCTTACACACACACACACACACACACACACACACACACACACACACACACATTTAAAAAGGTTGTCCACTGCGATATCATATTTAAAACTTTAGTTGAGGTGTAATGTAGCTGTGTGAACATAAACAACATCTCTGAATGTAAGATGCTCAGAGCTCAATGAGGAGACCCTGGCTTTTACAGAGTTAGCTTAGCGAAGCCTCCAGCAAACGAAGTTTGGGGACTAAAAAAAAAAAACATCTGGCCTAGTGAGATCACAAGGGCTTCTGGTCATGTAAGTTCACCTCGCGCACACACCCTGTGCAGCAAAGGGGCCAGAGGTGCTGTAATATTATAGCAGCAAAAGCTAAAATGGTGTCCAAATGCTGCTGTTTCCACTGAGCTTCTTCTGTTTCTGAATTTGGGCTTCCAAAGGACACAACACAAAGAGAGAAGAAATCACAGTTTAATTTTAATTATGTTGCAGGGAATTATAATAAAGATATAGCTCTAGCATTTAACAAAGGAGAACTTTCAGAGTCTCTCTCAGTTCAGTGCTGGATTTGGCTAAAACTCCTCCAACCGATGAAGCTATGGACTGTGAGCCACAACCTGTAAGTGTTTTTATTTGTTAAAATGGATCTATTACATGCACAGTTTCTAGCAGAATGTTTTAGCGAGGATGTAAACAAGGATGTAAACAACAGGAAATGCTGTTTGGCACCGCTAACAATTTAGCTACAAATTTATATTTATCAGTCAAACCGCTGTAAACACCCCTAGTCCTCAGCAGCGTGTGCAGTGTCTCTCTGTGCATGTCTTTCTATGCGGCTGCTTTTTGTGCATTCTACACCAGGCTTACTTTGTGCTTGAACACCTCTGAAATCTGGTCCACCACCTCATTTTACAGATAACCCTCCTCAACTGCCCTTCCTCCCCCATCCACTGTTCACTTTCACTTTCTTCCGCAACTCCCCAACCCTCTTCAGTTTTTCAAGACTCCCCAACCCTCTTCACTTTCTTCCGCAACTCCCCAACCCTCTGCACTTTCTTCTGCAGCTCCCCAACCCTCATCACTTTCTTCTGCAACTCCCCAACCCTTTTCACTTTCTTCTGCAGCTCCCCAACCCTCATCACTTTCTTCTACAACTCCCCAACCCTTTTCACTTTCTTCTACAACTCCCCAACCTTCTTCACTTTCTTCCGCAACTCCCCAACCCTCTTTACTTTCTTTCGCAACTCCCCAACCCTCTTTACTTTCTTTCGCAACTCCCCAAACCTCTTCAGTTTTTTCAAGACTCCCCAACTCTCTTCACTTTCTTCCGCAACTCCCCAACCCCCTGCACTTTCTTCTGCAGCTCCCCAACCCCCTGCACTTTCTTCTGCAACTCCCCAACCCTCTTCACTTTCTTCTACAACTCCCCAACCTTCTTCACTTTCTTCCGCAACTCCCCAACCCTCTTTACTTTCTTTCGCAACTCCCCAAACCTCTTTACCTTCTTCCGCTACTCCCCAACCTTCTTTACTTTCTTCCGCAACTCCCCAACCCTCTTCAGTTTTTTCAAGTCTCCCCAACTCTCTTCACTTTCTTCCGCAACTCCCCAACCCTCTTCACTTTCTTCCGCAACTCCCCAACCCCCTGCACTTTCTTCTGCAGCTCCCCAACCCTCATCACTTTCTTCTACAACTCCCCAACCTTCTTCACTTTCTTCCACAACTCCCCAACCCTCTTTACTTTCTTACGCAACTCCCTAAACCTCTTCACTTTCTTCCGCTACTCCCCAACCTTCTTTACTTTCTTCCGCAACTCCCCAACACTCTTTATTTTCTTCCACAACTCCCCAAACCTCTTCACTTTCTTCCGCAACTCCCCAACCCTCTTTTCTTTCTTCCGCAACTCCCCAACCCTCTTCACTTTCTTCCGCAACTCCCCAACCCTCTTTACTTTCTTCCGCAACTCCCCAACCCTCTTCACTTTCTTCCGCAACTCCCTAAACCTCTTCACTTTCTTCCGCAACTCCCCAACCTTGTTCCCTTTCTTCTGCAACTCCCCAACCCTCTTCACTTTCTTCCGCAACTCCCCAACCCTCTACACTTTCTTCTGCAACTCCCCAACCCTCTTCACTTTCTTCTGCAACTCCCCAACCCTCTTCACTTTCTTCTGCAACTCCCCAACCCTCTTCACTTTCTTCCGCAACTCCCCAACCTTGTTCCCTTTCTTCTACAAGTCCCCAACCCTCTTTACTTTCTTCCACAACTCCCCAACCCTCTTCACTTTCTTCCACAACTCCCCAACCCTCTACACTTTCTTCTGCAACACCCCAACACTCTTCACTTTCTTCTGCAACTCCCCAACCCTCTTCACTTTCTTCCGCAACTCCCCAACCTTGTTCCCTTTCTTCTGCAAGTCCCCAACCCTCTTCACTTTCTTCCACAACTCTCCAACCCTCTTCACTTTCTTCCACAACTCCCCAACCCTCTACACTTTCTTCTGCAACTCCCCAACCCTCTTCACTCTCTTTCGCAACTCCCCAACCCTCTTCACTATCTTCTGCGACTCCCCAACCCTCTTCACTTTCTTCTGCAACTCCCCAACCTTCTTCACATTCTTCAACAACTCCCCAACCCTCTTCACTTTCTTCTTTGACTCACCAACCCCCTTCACTTTCTTCCGCAACACCCCAACCCTCTTCATTTTCTTTTGCGACTACCCAACCCTCTACACTTTCTTTCACAAATCTCCAACCCTCTTCACTTTCTTCAGCGACTCCCCAACCCTCTTCACTTTCTTCAGCGACTCCCCAACCCTCTTCAATTTGTTCCCTTGACTCCAGGCGGTGTGCCTAGTGTGCTCTTTTTTTCTTTCTGATTCAGGCAGCTAATTCTGCCAACAGATGCTCTGTCTGGACTGTTTGCACAGCACAAAAGCGTGCTTGTAGGGGCGTTACGTGAAGCTAATCCTTGAATCCCAGCACATTTTGTTAGCTGACCAATCAGAACCTCTTGAGGACAGGCTTTTCAGAGGAAATAGGAAATATGATTTTTATGTTAGCGGAGTAGCTGTATATTATTAAAGATATATGAAAAAATAACCTGATTTTCTACAAGTGAAGCATGAGCACACATTGCTTTGCATCTTATAAACACAAGCAAACCCTGACAATACACAGTGGACCACCCATTTAAAATTGTATATTAAAACACATAAGCAATAAATAACATTAATTAATTCATTCATTTTCCTTCGCCTTAGTCACTAATTCAACGGTCTCTACAGCGGAATGAACCACCAACTATTCCGGGATATTTTTTACACAGTGGATGCCCTTCCAGCTGCAACCCAGTATTGGGAAACATCCATAATCATTCTAACACACACACACACACACACACACACACACACACACACACTCTCTGGCCAATTTAGTTTATTCAATTCACCCATAGCACATGTGTTTGGACTGTGGGGGAAACAGGAGCACCCTAAGGAAACCTAAAGAGAGCAAGGGATTTTGAAATGTTGCGAGCCCATCAAAATGACTTGTTTGATGACTGAAGAAAAATGGTGTGTGTTTGTGGAATTGTGCAGGTGATCGAGAAGCTGACGTGCATCGCGGAGGAGAGTCAGAGTGGTCAGATGAAGAAGATCAAGGAGCTCTGCGAGAAGTCAGTCTATCAGAAATATAACACACACACACACACACAAGCACACAGACTAGATTACACCTACAACACACACTTATTCAATAACTGATAACTCACACTCGTCTGTACTCACAGAGAGAAGAAGGAGCTAAAGAAGAAGATGGACAAGAAGAGGCAAGAGAAGATCAGCGAAGCCAAGTCAAAAGAGAAACACCTGACAGAGGAGTACGAGCATATACACACACATAAATAAATATACGCACACTTGCATACATATGTATAGACATACAGTACACATGTACATATAAACACACACACACACACACACACACACACAAATTCCCCACAAGGTCCAAATTGACAGTTTAGCAATTTACCAAAATAAATATACATATACATATACACATACTCACACATGCATACTCACAAGTTCACTACAAGGTAAAAAGTACTGGTTTTGTTTTACTTGTGGGGACTTATTTGATCCCCTCAGCCTAAAGGCTAATAAATTATTTCTGCCTCAAGTGCAAGCATATGCTCTGGCGCAATCTACGCATGGTCACATAGCCCTCGCCGTGGCCGTCAGCAACTCTGACACGCAACTACACGTTGCAATGCCGCAAGCTCTGTGATTGGTCGGCTTGGTAGCTCTGACGGTGGAGCGAGGATGGAGTCCTGTGAAGGAGCTCTAGATGATTATGTCTGATGATTAAAGTGGTTGCACGTCTGCCGGTTTCTGCCTCAAAATGAACGAGTTTGAGCCACTTGTATATTAAGGTAGCGTTCA